GTTGCCTGCCATGGGCGGGCGGGCGGCAAAGCCAGAGCGGGCAAAGGCAGGTAGTTGGGCGTCGGGCTTGAACTGAAGCTGCAGGAAAAAGCGCTTGCCGTCTGCGTCCCAGCGGGTCCACAGCTTGCCTTTGCTGTCGTCGACGTCTCGCGATTGCAACTGTCCAAAAAATCAAATCAAAAAAGCAACGATGGACAAGGCGTGAGGGACACAGGTCAGGGCACGCAAAACACAGACTCCAGCCTCAATCCAGAGCAGTCAACAGGGAGGCTCGGACGGCTGACCTTGAAGGCAATCGTCTCGTAGGGCTCGGCGGCAAAGAGCAGAAATTGGTAATTGCGGTCTGGCGCTTCGCGACGTTGCTCATAGGCCGACATGAAGCGGTGGCGGGGCGTCACACCCTCTGCAATCTCTGGATAATCAACCTGGAACAGGAGGGAATAGGCTCCGTTATCCGGGTCCTGCTGCTTGGTCACTGCGAAGATGGCCCGTTTGTCACGCACGCATGAGCCACAGCAGCCAGCAGCATTTGAATTTGAATCCAACAACACCAGGGGTTCAACACACCCTTGTAGCCCGGGCGACCAATCTTGATGAACTTTTTCAGTTCGTATTGTTGTTGTTGCTGTCACAAGCATGGAAATTCGTGGTAAGCAAGAAGGGCGCCACGCAAGCGGAACAGGGCATGGGCTGGGTTGTGCCGAGAAGAGAGCTTTACCTCTGCGGGCAGAGCAGGGGCGTCTGTGGCGTCCTTGGCAGCACGCTTGCGCCTGTGCGTCACCAAAACCCGTACGTTCAGACCGTGTGAGCGACTGAACTCCCAAAAAGAGTAGCAGCACAAGCAACGAAAAGACTTTTTAGGGACTCAGTACAAAGGCACGCACAAGTTTTCCTGATGCTTCTTGCCCTGAGTGTGCGCGAGGTAGCTGCCCTCGTTGTTGTGAAGGGTCAAGCAAAGCTTGCACTCATACTTGCCAATGTGGTTACGCATAAAGTAGGGGTCCTGAAGTGCGGCAAGGAGGAATGCGGCAAGGAGGAATGCGGCAAATTAGAGGGCACAGGTCGGGCCTGCTGATCCCAAATGCCGCTGCCTGCACACACACGTTTGAGCCAGGCGTCGCATCAAAAGAACAAAACGAACCTTGGCGAGATCGATGGTTTCCATGGCCAAGGCCATGAGGCGCTCCTTGCGCATGCGGTTGGCATCGTCCCATGATGCATAGCCGGATCCGGTCTTGTGACCGACACGGTTCTGAAAATCCATGGTGGCTGGTCCCCGACAAAGGTCAACGCGGAAAGAAAGAGCTGCTCACTCGTAGCAATACGGTTCCGGCAGATTCAAACACACAAAGTCCAAGTGCTGGACGTTGATGTGTTCCTGTAGCTTCAGTGTACCCAGCCCTTCTCCAGCGCCCGATCAAGATGCAGGCGTCTGCCGTATTTCCGCACCGAGGATGCACCACGACGTGCTCTCTCGCGCTTTTGCCCCGAATGAGGAAAGTGACGAAAAATATCCGGAGCAAACTTGTCAAACATTATTTGTCAGACATTCCGTCTTCACCTTTTGCGTTCAATGAAACAACTGCTTTGTCAGACAATACTGTCAGATCAATTGTCAGATCAATTGTCAGAAGTTTTGTCAAAAGTCTGTGTGTGTGTGTGTGTGTGTGTGTGTGTGTGTGTGTGTGCGTGTGTGTGTGCGTATTTTGACGCAAGGCAGCAACGGAACACGAGCGCTGCTGGCTCGGTTGCTCGTTCGCTCCGCTCGATCCGAACGGCTGGGCTTGGGGCTTGGGGCTGGGTGGATCTTGCTGTGCGACGGGGGGGAAGTTGGATGTGATCTCTGGTGCTACATTGCTGGGTGTGATAGGGGCTTGGTAGGATTTGTGGGCTGGCTTGGTGTGTTGTCTTTTCCAGGCAGCTGCCATGCACGGTCGGCATATACCTCGTGGTGCTCGGCAGGTGGGATAATGCATGCATGCCCTTGTTCAAGCCCTCAACCCTTGGGCTTTCTGGGCCTGTCACTTGAGGCCTTGTGCTAGTCCTTTTTGACCAGTGCTGCGCTCGACCGTGCCAACGACCATGCTCAAGAGTAGCAGCGGCGTGCGGGGCCGGGCAGGGCTGCTTGCACTCTTCTTGATGTGCCAGCTATTGCCCGGTTCTCTTGGTCAGGGCACGGCAGTGTGGCCAGTCACTGCCGTCACACACGGCGTCTTGGGACCCGTGAGTGTCACAGCTAGTGACATCGATGGTGACGGCGACTTGGACTTGGTTGCTTCCAGTCGAGCCATCAGCGTGGTGGCATGGTATCCGAACCATCTTGCTAATGGCTCAGCATCCTTTGGAGTACAGCATGTGGTCAACGGCGCATCAAATTCTCCACCTGTTCTTGCTGTTGCTGACCTCGACAACGATGGAAAGCCAGATGTTGTGTCAGTCGCAGTGGTGTACAATATGATAGGTTGGTATCAGCAACGCGAAAATCCACAAACTTTTAGTCCCCTTCAAACGCTTTCCGCCACCTACCAAGAACCACGCCTTGCACTGCCCGTGGATATGGACCGCGACGGGGCTTTAGACGTCCTTGTCGTCAGCGAAGGTGACAACAGCTTGTCTTGGCTTCGCAACAACGGCACAGGTTATTTTCTAGAGCGCCGACGCATCAGCACCACGGCCACCTCGGCCGAACATGCCGTTCTGGCTGACTTTGATGGTGATGGCCTCTTGGATATTTTTGTGGCTCTCACGGATGTCTATCAGCTTCAGCTCTACCGCGCCGTCGACGCCCAGGACCACTTTGCCGCCCCAGAACTCTTTTTTCTCAATCATTCCAAGCCCACGTTTCTAGCCCACGCCGATATTGACCAGGACGGCGATGAAGACCTGGTCGTGCTCATGGACTCGAACAACTACGTTGGCTGGCTCCTCAACAAAGGCAACGGCAACTTTACCGAGTATATCTACCCATCCTCAGATCTCCGATCCGCTCACAGCGTAGTACTTGCTGATGTCAATGGGGATGACTTTCCCGATGCCATTGTGGTTGACTCCAGCCGTGGCTCCATATACTGCCTTCAAAACAACGGCACGGGTGGATTTGCCCTACCAGTTGAGATTGCCAGTAGCAAATTTGCGCCCAACATCCCCATAGCTGCTGATCTTGATGATGATGGTGACTTGGACATCGTGGCCGGAGGCTCCGACGCCCCCTTTTTTTATTGGTACCGCAACGACGGTAATTTGGAGTTTACGGAGCAGCTCGTCTTTGCGGACATGGTACAGAGCCCGCGCGCCATCGCCCTTGGGGACCTAGACAATGATGGTATTCCCGACTTGGCCAGCGCAAGCCATGATGATGCTAAGATTGCTTGGTATCGCAATCCAGGCGATGGCAGCTTTCAGCAGCAAACTGTGCTGGAAACTGACCTCAAGGGTGCGAGCGTAGTGCTGATTCACGACCTCAACAGCGATGGCCAAGCTGATGTCGTGGCCGCAGGCCGCAAGGCTGACAAAGTGCTCTGGTTTCAAAATCTTGGCAATGGTACCTTTGCACGCCACGCCCTGCTCACCGACGCAGCTGACCCGATTGATGTCCAGGTTCACGACCTCGACGACGATGGGCGGTTGGACGTGCTCGTGGCCCATCATGGCACAGGGCGCGTCACCTGGCATCGACAGCTGTCCAACCAGCAATTCGACTCGGAGCCTGTCACACTGCTGGCCGACGGCGTCGTCGCCATTCATGCCGCCGATCTGGACAATGACGGGGACGTTGACGTTCTTTGTGCGTGCGCCCAGACTCGTACTTTGGCTTGGTTTATCAACGAGGGTGCAGGGCACTTCTCGACCAATCCACAGGTGATCACCCACGAGGCCGACGGCTTGGGGGCGATCGACACTGCAGATCTGGACCAGGACGGCTACTTGGATGTTCTCGCCGTTAATACGCTTGATGATCGGATCGTATGGTATCACAATCGCGGCAGTGCTTCGTTCCAACCCGTTGTCCTCACCACCTCGAGTCTCAACGATACGGGCATTGCCTCGGTGCGTGGTGTTGATCTGGATCGCGATGGAAGGGTCGACATTGTATGTGCTGTCCCATATTTTCCCCAGGTTGTCTGGTTTCGCAATCTCGGCGGGGGCACATTTGCCGAGGCCGTGGCGGCTGGCGTATACAGCGATGAAATCCATCAGCTTTTTATTGGAGATGTGAATCAAGATGACCGACCAGACATCATTGCCGTTTTTGCCTCCACCAATCGCATCAGTTGGGCAGCCAATAACTTGTACGTGTGCCCCCCCCCCCCCCCC